CACATTAATTTAATTTTATCAACTCAAAAGATAAGTATGGACCAAAAATCATCCAGTCTTAAATTTACGATTATAAAAGAATTTATATGAATAAGATTAGTCGAACATTCTAAGAATCTGAATAATAGAGCAAACAATCTCTTAGATAGAGTAGGGTGTTTAATTGAGGTTTAGAATCATTGCAGTTATGTTATACAATAAGAAGAGCCACATTGCCTAAGCGAAAATTTGGCAGGCAGTATTATTTCGTAATCTTTGGTAGTATACGAAGCTAGGATACTCATATTGTGGTGGATCTTGTGGTTGACTAGTGATACTTATCATAAAATGCAGCTCGCACTTTGCTACTAATTAATAGACTTTACTGAAGGTTGCACTGAACATACATTAGCAAAGTAATTGAATGATCGTGCGAAGCAATGCCGAAGAAGTCTTAAGACTTTCCTTTTCATAAGATTCTAGTTGTAACAGTAACGGATCATTTTGTAACTTAGCAGCATCGTACTATACGGATGTTTAAGTTTGCTAAATTCCTAGACTCGATACAAATAAGCATTTTGATAGCATAAGATGTTGATAATTCGTAATCTACGATAATTATAACTTATAACTTATCTATTATAATTATAATTATCAGACGTGGCATTACGCTACGGTTCGGACTTAGTGTATTAGTGTAACGATACACATATTTTAATGATTATTCGCAACGCATATAAAAAATAATGTAATACTGTAACCATTGGATTGTAAATAATGTAATAGATAAATAAAGTACATACCCGCAAGTAGTAATATATGGAATTGAACCAACAGCTTAGCAAAATCTGAAGGTTGGAGAAAGTATGGCTTAAACATAAGCCATCAAACTTTAAAGTTTACATGAACTTACATCTATACATTTGTGTTGCGGTCAATTACATGATTATTACCTATGAAAACATCTCCATGTTCAAATTCTATGCTGTTATTTACGATAGTAGGATTTAGAAGATCAATCAATCATTATTGGTTAAGAATGCTTATCCTATCAAAGAGCATCACCAAATAAATCAGAAAGTAGCAATATTGGAATGTTTTCATTAACTAATATCGGTATATAATATAAGTAGATTATTTGGGAATAATACTTGTTAAAACTGGCTTATTATTTCGCGATCGATACAAAAGTAATTCCTATGTATTATAGCAAATAAAATGCCTTGTAAATATAAGCCGTATTGCATTATAGAGTATTTATCTGTACCTAATTATATCTTTTACACGCAGGCTAAAGAATATCAGTTGGATTCGGTCGAACATAAGAAATAAAAGTGTTACTTTTGTCCTCCAAGTTCGTTCCTTAGTATCTGCCTCTGTAAAATTTGATAAGATGATCGTTCAATCAGCGATCTGCAACAGAACTGACAGTTTCGCAGAGTTCAATACATCCTAAATAGCTGACTATGTGATGCATAATATTAATAATAAATTTATCTTAGGAAAATACAAGTAATTTATTATTCAATTTAACCGAATAAAACGTTAATTAGTAATATCATAACTGTCAAACAAAAATAGTCATACAATGATAAAGGCTATATCAATATTAGCAGTTAAGACTTGAAGCCCATCAAGTAATTAGATGATATCAATCTTTGCAGCTAACATCTGCAGGCAGTTGTAAGTTGATAAAGTTATATCCTTTGCTGTGGGATAAAATCTATTATTAGTACCAGGACAAAGGTTAAGGCCTGCAACCTGGATTATGGAAGTGTTACAGAGACGACCAATACCAGTATTGTGATTGATTGCGGGAGGGATAGACAAGATTATCCGATGTTTGGATATACCACAGTAGCGAAGTGGACTTGTTCCAATGTGCCCCATTGTAAACAGTATAATGATTAGCATAGTACTATGGTACGCATGAGAAATTATGATAATTTAAAATTGAAGAAAATAATGAAATTGGTATTGGAACAATAGAATAATTTGCGTTAATAAGACTTTATTCTTGATTATATCGACGTGGGAGAAAACCTTAGATCTTAATTATTTTAACAGATTTGATCATATTTGCTAAAGGAAATAAAAGATAGACGTAGCTAAAATGAAAAAGATTACCATAGAAACAGGCTCGTTTGCTAAAAAATTCATATTGCTGGATGCCCATTTTTGCAAATTTAATTGATAATGCATTCCAATACAGTGTAGAAATAAAGATGCTATTTCGCGAACAGTTAGCATTAGAATGCTTAATAACAGGTATAGCTCATCTTAATTTAATTAATTCTATGCAAAAATGCTTGAATAGAAAGTTCTTTACTGCAACAGTAGGATAGAAGAAATAAAATTATGCCAATAAAAGTATTTTCACAAAATAGAATTGGATAGCATTCATATCAAAGTAATCTTAAAACAAATGAATCCATATTTATTTTGCCGTAATTCATCTGGAGGTTTAATGGTAACATTTTTACAATAATTTATTGAAGTCCTTCTTTCGCGGCCACAACAATAATTTCATTTTGCTAACATAGAAGATCCCTCAAGTTAATTTCAATAAATATTTTATTTTGATTTAGTACTACATTAATATTTCTAGTTAATAACAATAATTGTAACTACGAAAATAGAATGAAAATTTAATGGTGTGAATAGCTATAGAAACCAATAATTTTATGATTCAATAAGAATAATAAACTATTACAATATTTTTACATTATTTCATAGCAAGTTACATTATTATTTTTTTCTTTCTGTCATTGGCTGTTAAATCTCAGCTGTAAATACTTAAATATAATCAGTATACCTTAGCTCTATTTCTCTCACTGTTACATCAAAATATCGGTAGAATACAGAAGTCATAATTGTAGTGTTTACTTCTAAATACGGTATAGTCTATTTTTAATAAAAGTCAATTTCCACTAGATTGTAGCATAACTCTAAATATGCATAATTTATATTTAACAAAATACTCTGTGGAAATCGCTTTGAATCTAGCTGAATTATATCGTAGCCCTGTCTTAACATAGAAGTAACATATTCTTATTATTCATTTATGATTTCCTCCTGCTGTGCTTCATACATTATAAAAGCTATCTTCTTTCACCTATCTCGTTAGTTAGTTCTGCTAGTTACACAGTAAGCTTGCACGCTTTACCTATTCTACATTACTATAGCTATTCGACTAGTCACGTCGTTATACACGCTGTAATCTCACACGGTTTTTCCCTTTGCACTAATTCCAATAAACTTTATTCCTCTACTAAATTAACTCTGGTAATTTACTGTGATCATGACGAATCCACAATCTTCCGAAACATCACCATAATAATGATCATATCCTTTACTAATGTATAATTTACCTGCATAAATATATACGTACGAATACATTCCGTACTTATTATGAAATTATTTTACACATACTAGTATTACTGCAGTACATATGATACTGTTAACTGTTGTAACTAGGATCAGTAGAAATCTACTTAATAAATAACTGTTTAAAAGCAATTTCACTTGTTCATTTAATTATCCACGGTGTACGTTGTGATATTGTGTGAATAACTAACTATAAAAATAGGGGTAAACTTAGGGCTTAAATATCGGAGTAAACACATTAAGGCGATAGATATTTGGTAAGTTCGTACTAACAGCTGCTCGTGCTATTGCATATTTGCAACTCTATTCTATACATATCAAACTATACTACTAGAAAATTAGAATTAAATCTAGAATTGAATGCGCCATAGACAACAGCATTAGTACTACGTGCATATTTTAATTAGATTTTCCAAAGTAAATGGGTCAAATATCTAAAAAATTTTATTAAGAGAAACTAGTCAAATACGTTACCCGTTCAAATAAATGGGAACACATTCTAAACAAAACATATCACTAAAAGAAAATTCACAGCTAGGTTATCATATTATATATGGATTTTCTCTTTGCAGTGGCAATACATAAATCAAATTTGTTGCATCCGTTTTATCTGGTAAGAGCTTTCATATGTAAATCACTGCTTGTAAACTTAGAGTATTCGATTTTAAAAGGGATAATAATTGTTAGTGTTTGAAAGATGCACATGTTTATAGCTTAGTCTATACCTATGTTATTAAACACCTTGAAATCAAAACAATTTTCGTGTTTAAAAGACAGTCCCGTTTATAGCTAAATGTATACCCACAATATTGAAAGCCTTGAATTAAACAACACTGATAATTAAAAAGTCCTTGTATGTGTATGTGATACGGTACAGTTTCAAGATAACTACTGGTTTATTAAAATGGAAGCTTGCTATTTGTAATTTATCCACGTAGCCAAGAATAAGATGACTGCAATCAGAGTATAGTGCAATGATAATGGCGATGCACCAGACGAACTAGGGTAAATATTACAATCCAATTGGCCCGCAGTTGGCGTTTTTATTGCATCTGGCAAACTAAAATAAATTGAAATAGATTTTTCAATTAATCCATATACGGATCTAAATTATCCTATTTTCAAATGCTATTTCTTCCTTACCAATTCACAGCAGCCGTACATTCTTCCCTACTCCAGCCAAAAGTAATTATTCCGTCTTGAGTTGCATTACAAGCTGTTGAAGCTTGGCATGCAAACTTTGTCCATCTATTGATACAGTCTGAACTAACTCCAAGTAGGTTATAACCTACACGCAATGCTAAGACCGAAGCTCCTTGTCTTTGTAGAATTGGAACGGCCCATGGAGGTACGGTAACATTGGGAAAAGTACCACAAATTCCAGGACTTAAACTAGTAATTCTCGAGCTAACACAAGTATTTAGACTAAATTGCCGACCAGATAAATTACATAATGATGCAGGAGTTCGGCTGATTGTTGTAAATATACCATTTGGGCATGAAGTGAGCGATAAACATGGTTGGGTTATAGTTAAGTACGATGCTGTCGTTAAGTTTGAAGAACATTTTGGTAATAGTCCTTTACAGAGAACTTCTTTTGTATTAAATAGGCACTGAGGAGTAAAACTAGATGCTCGTGTGTTTATGTAATCGACGATAAAATCCATTTGCTTGGCAATGCCTCTCATATAGGACGAGGGAACAGAATAAGACATATTACAAAATGACATAATTCTGTTGCTTGGTTGCATGCATGAATTTAAAGCACCTTCGTCTTTGATGTATTTCAAATCAGATATTGTACTTCTTGTTAATCTAGTTTCCTAAAAAATAGAAAGAAGATTATTAATTTAATTCAAATGAGTTATTGATATTTCTATAAAATCCTAGTGATAATGTTAAAGCGATATTGAAAGAAAGGATATTTTTCAGCTCATTTTAGGTCACTTGACGATTTCAATAATAGATTGACAGTAGATGATATATAAAGCCAGTATTTATAGTAATAACCAATTTTATAATACAAAATGATAACTAATTCAAGTTGAACAGAGGACAGCATTGTTTCCAAAACTCGAAATTGGTTGGAATGGCAATGATTGAAAGGGCCACAAATAGCAGTATAGACGTAAACTATATTAACAGTCAAGGATTGTTTTAAGCGGCAGACAATTTTACAATTCTTAGTAAGAAATAGTAAAGGCATTGCAGATTGCTGTCACTTTTCTTTACTGTGTTTAACTCTTATTAAACTGCTCCTACTTGTTATAAGCGACGGATGATATACAATTCTCCATAGGAAATAGAAAAATCAGTACAAATTATTACTTTCACTTTGCTTTAGTGTGTTTAATTCTTATTAAAGTGCTCATACTTGTTTTAAGCGACAGGTAATGTACAATTGGGAAGTAGTTAAGGTAGTGCAGATTATTGCTTTCATTTTTCGTGTTTAATCCTTATTAAAATGCTCATACTTACTTTATTTCCATGGACCATGGAATGGAAACAAATAATAGCTGCGACTATTGTGAAGATAGACTTCATTCTTCCTTTTTTCAATCGTACGACTTCTAAAATATATCATAAAAATATATTATCTATTTAGTTTTTTATTATATCGTAATCATTCTATGGATTTTATGGGCCGAAATTGTAAGATCGAAATGGCTACTGATTAATTCACGTTAACATCCATTGGCTCAATTTCGGTTGAAAATTTATTTGTAAATAAAGAATGAAAAGTAATTGGTAATTTAATATTGCATGATAATTTCTTTTAGAAAGTGTTAGAAGAGTTTTGGTGTGCATAAACTGGTAACATTAACAAGCATAGCTATACGACAGGAATTTATTAATGCTTCCATTTGATTACACTTGAGATAATTTTTAATTTCAATCTGTGAAATGAACAATTAAAATTAAAAAATTTCCAGTTTCATTCTCGAAATGATGCCAATTTGCACGATCTAGTAGTATCCAACGCATCGTATGAGTATTAAAATAGTGGTAAAGGAAGAAGCAGCCTTTACTCTCCACATAGCTGCAGATAGTACAAGCTTAGAGCCAATTTTAGACATCAATAATATAATTTTAAACAAGCAAGCTTCTATCAACTTACATTTCAAGCTTAATCGCTCTATTAATAGTTAATCTAACCTTATAGGAAATTACTCGTCTACACTACTACAGTAAAAAAGTTCTATTACTCTTGTCGATAACCAACTCTTAAAATTAATAATAAAGACTCTGTAGTAGTTAAGTAACGAAATTTACTCATCTTATAAAATAATTCAAAAGGGATATTGCGATACAAACTCAATTCGTAGTATAATCCGCTAATATAACGGTGCAAATTGGTAGTTCATTCGCTCTAGATAGAATTATTTCTAATTAAAATTGGGTATTAATGATATAAAAGTTAATACATATCCTTGAGTGTAGTGTAGGCCACTTACAACAATTACTATAGATTCCAACATTATTATAATTACTGTTTGATCACTGCAATATTAATAAAGCATCCATTGTAGTATCACGCTAAAGACGAAACAGTTTGTTGAATAAGCATTTATTTCATTCATTGGGAATTTGAGTAGCTATAACATTCAGTACTCGAAGGGCAATATGCTTTAAGATGTTGTAATCTACACATTAAGGTCTACTCATGTAATTTTAGCGATAGGTCTTTCCCTGCAGGGCGATCATAGTTTGGGATGGCTTTTATAGTAAGTTGAATTCTTGTCTTGAAAAGGTTATGACAATACTAGTTGAAAATGTCAATTTACAACTCAAGATAATCTATCAAATATCTTTAAGAGGGAACGATAAAATTAATTGAAACGCCGAATGACTACTAAAAGATGATCTATGGCATATTAATATTGAATCTTTCTATTTTAACTGAGTAAGGATTAGAAGATGTGTTACCGATTCTTTTCAGAATTGGAGCTATTTTACTCTCCGACATTATCGTTCTCGGCGTTCATGTTCGCCAAGAAAAATTGATAACGGTCGCAAGCGATTCTACGTTCTTCGAAGTAGAAGATAATCCAAGCATTTTTAGCTCTTCTACCCAGCATTAGCCAAGTGCCGCCTACTGTGTTGGCCATTTACCTTATTTTTTCACGAATAAGTACCCTATACAGTGTGCAGTGACTATCTAATATACTATTTATCAGTTCTATAGCCTACTCGTACAGTATCGCATAGCCATGCTTGTCATTTTGTAAGAGCAGTATTTCAATCCAATCATGGAAAACCGAATGGCTTGATATTGAAGACTACGCTACAGTCACTTATAAATTCTTCTACACCATTTGATGATTGTAGCCTACGCTTTTATTTAGCTTGTCCAGCTTGCCCGGTGCGATTAGAAAACCAAGTTGTTGGTAAATAAAGAAATAATCGGGAGCTTTTCAATAGCCGATTAAGGGATAGAATCAATATGCTTGTATTATTCGTTATGGTCGCTGGTAAAGCAGGAAATTGGACATTGTATGGACTATCCATTCGGTCGTGAACATGGCCGTTGTTCTTGAACCCAATGACTTTATAAAACCAGTACTAGCAACATCGGTATACAATGTTTTTTTTCCAACCCATCTTATGATCATAGGGGATGTTTAAATAAATCACGACTTAGAAAAATAAACTCGATATCTATTAAAATCACTGGCATGTTGGACCTTTCAATATGATCAATTCTATTAATTAATTTTTACTGGTAATAATTATAATCATACCAGATATTTTAACTATTCTATCATTTGGCAAAATTAATATTGCAGCGGTTAGGGCCATTAATATTGTAGTATTTGGATATTACAGACCGCCTCTAATCCTAACAGACCTTTTTTTTATTATTGAACTGAAGTTTATCAGTTGGTAAGGCAAACAAATCTCTTATTACTGGAAAAGCCCCATTCCCGATAGTAGCGGCTTTACTCAGAACATTATTGCCAACACACCAATTATCATAAAGATCTTTAATTTAGTCTCTCGATCTTGACGATCGAGAGACCAATGTTAAAATATCTATTCTTAAGTTACTACACTAGGCCTTGCTGGCAATAACAAACAAGATGACAAAAACAGTCAACAGAACAAAATTGTGCGTTTGGCGAATCCTCCCCCCCCCCAAAAAAAAAAATGTCCTATAAAAACCAAAGATGAATTATAATTTTTTTCTATCCATACCTGATTAGTTTTTTAAATTGCGCTAATGTGATTTTTGTTGACTTGATCCGAGCAAGCAAGCTAAAATACAAAGTTGTGGTGAAAATCAGTTAGGTTGTTGAATTGAGATGCTTGATTCAAAGTCGCTATATTAATCTGCGAATCAATAGCAGAAATAACCTTGAAAATACTTTGTCCTTGTTCAAGTTATGAACAAGGACAACGTATTATTGTCATAACAACTTTACAAAAGTAGAAACAATAACATAAATGGTTATAGTATTATAAATAGTTTCCCTATTGACGTCAGTAATTTATTTTTCTGCCGGCATTTGTTCAGTTGAATTCTAGCCAGCCTATTATTGAACAGAGCTAGTAAATAAAATGGAAAATGATTACTGCAGTCTGTTGGTATTGATAGCTATGTCTAGTCAGCGTTATAGAAACTGTTGCGGTCTAATAAAAGTATTCTACCAGTAGGGGGAATGAAATTTGTTATTGGATTTATCTGTAATCTATCAAGTCCTCATCAAGTGAACATACTGTATGATACTTTGAAAGCTTAAAGTAGTAATCACAGAGCATCATGGCCTTAAGTTTCTATGATGTTCTGGTTCAGAATTTAATCCAGATATAGTAGGGAGTACAGGATACTAAGGTAGACCTGATCTTGATAGTGTTGTTGAAATGAATTCGAGTATGACGAAATATCCCTTAAGATGTTTCAGTCAATCATCTGTAGCATCGAGTAAAAAACCCAAGCGAATCAATGGAAAATCCACTTGGAAACATCAACTACACACCGGACTGCCGAGCAAATACTCGTAGAGTGGCGTATTTTCAATCAAATCAAGTATCTAGTTCTCAAGTCTAGTTGTAAAGGAAGACAGTAGTTCATGTACAATAGTTTATGGAGCTGTAAAGTGTACAGGTGTCCATTTGTCCAATTGCAATGGCGTCCGTAAGGATTCACGAACCTGCCGACTAATAATTAGTTAATTTATTCATAGCAAGACTGAACAATGGTCAACATTGCAGCACAGTACTTTTGCCGAGAGTAGAGAGTGCATTAATTAATTAAAACTGTAATAGCCACGGCAATATATTAAGCAATAGCTATTGGTTTGCAACATTTGGCGTTCTTGTTACAGGCAAAGGAGTACCATCATGGCAGAACAAGTCATTCGAACTGATATTTTTGATTATGAAGCAGCATTTCTTGCTTACAAGGATTCCAACAATGATCATGAGAAATTATCGCTGTTCAATCACACCTTCTTAAAACTCCTGGAAGATCAAGGATTGTTTTGTCGTGAGGATCAAACCACTTTAGTGGGCGACATTGGCTGTGGCGATGGAGGAGCAACTGTCCATTACTTAAAAAATATCCAATTTAAAGGTGGATTAGATGTTCGAGTCACCGATAAGCAACCAGAATTTGCCGGTAGCGATACATCGTCAGATCAGAATAAAAATTCCAAAGCATGTCTAGCAGAAGAGATCCTCTCCAATGCCAAACAATCACAGATTATCCCATTAAAGAATTACCAAGTAAGGTATGGCGATATATTAGCAGATGATGTCGCACAATTGCTGTATACCAATGAGGAAATGAAAGCTTCAATGAATCGATTTGATCTTGTCTATCTATCTCACATTCTCTACTACGCACGCTATAATCATCAAAATGGACGTTATGGCGTAACCCATGTTGTAGACAGCGTAGCAACGGATTTATTATCGGAGAATGGCGTTGCAATATTATTCCACAGTGGGCTTCGATTTAGCAAGTACGCCTATTTCCGAATAGCCTATTTCACCCGAGGTGTTATCCAGAATGTTGATCCAACTGATGAGGAAATTAAAAGATTATCCACTGATTGTGCTATTAGGGACGCTTGCAATGAATTAGGGTTAACTTGTTTCGAGATACCCTACAAGTTCGATCTGTGCTTTTCCAAAGATATTCGAAAGTATAGTGATATCTACAAGGATCCTAGCCGATATCATGAATTGCGAGGTAATCCTTCTGCGATAAAGGATTTACGCGTAATCATATTTATGTCTCATCGCTCACCGGAAGATCTCTATGCAGATAAATCTCCTCGAGGATTAAACAATTTAGTCGATAGAATCGTCGATGCTGTGGAGAATAATGGTTGCGTAGACCTATTTTCTTTTATGCAAATCATCTTGAGCAGAAAAGCAAGCGCCGAATTTAAGCAGAAGATAGAAAGAGCTGTAAAGGAATGCCAGAATCAACTTTGTAGCTAGACACCCGCACAATTTTCTGCTCAAAGTGATGCCATGCTTAGCATGGGTCAAATTTTCGTTCTATCATGCCTAATTACATTCTGTTTCTTCCCGTTATAATTATTCATTCAATTTATCTATCCATTTTTCAACCGACTGTGAAATTATTTTAACCGGAATAAACTATTTTCTATTAATCACAGATTATTTTAGTCAAGCTTGCAATCACGACATAGTAAGTGATATTCATTCCTAAAATATCTATCTCCTACTTTCAGCATAAATTTCAACATAGAATTGAAATAATCATTACAGTAGTGCTTATATACGTTCGTAAGTTTTTTTTTTTAACGAGCACATTCTTGGGTAAATAGATATAAATAACTGAATAAATAGTTTGCAATGCACAAAATTCTACTTGGTGTATATTATTTAATTTGGATAAGATCGTTGCTATTACGTCAAAATAAGCACTCTTTTTACGTTAAGTCGTTAAGAAATCTTCATTTGTTAAGCTAGAATACTCCTTCTGGAAGAGATTTCTACATTGCGAAGATGCTTTCTTTCCCAGTAGTCTATGGCAGACCTCAATAATTCATTGTTAGTGATTTACAGAAGATTACCTTTACATTCTGTCATTTCTTATTACGGTTTGGAAATGAACCAATAATTATATAATCTGTAATGTGAATCCAGTCAAAATTTTTAGAATGCTAATTGAATATTAATACATCGACATTATTTTGGCTCAGCAATGCCTATGCATAAGAAATGAAACCCTAAATAGTAATGCCATTTCACAAGTAAGCTAATGTAATCTAAAGTTTCTTAAAATCGTTTCAATGTAAGCAATACATTATCACATTGACTAAGAGCAGCAAAGATCAATCTCTAGTATGGAAGAGTTTGAAGAATCGTGAGCATAAATTTGTGAGTGTAAGATACATTCATTATCACTGTACAAGTTAAATCAAATTGATTAAGTGCATATAGAAAATTTGATAACCGTTAAGGCAATCATAAACTTGAATAACAATTTATTTCTAAATATCGATAAATATATATCACAGAACTACATTACGACAGTCATTAATTCTGTTCACTACATTGCCTGTTATCTGCATCCCAATAATAATTTATCTGTTGAGTGATCTTCTAAATTTGCTATACATTTTTATACAATACTATGCATGTAATTGACATCCCTAGGTGCCATCTTTTTTGTAAGTTATTCATGCAATATCAGAATGCGTACCATTGAGGAAGAAATAAAAGGCACGATTTCCTTTTATGTCTTTATTCATTATATAGAAATAAATATACTCGTAGTCTTTCGCAAATTATATTATTCGCTTTAGAATGCTCAACTGATTCAGCGAATTTTTTATCTGATTGGTTTCACAAAATAACTTATTCACTAATGGATGCATACTCAAAGTAGAATAGAGCACATAAGTAAATTTTGATAAAATAATATTAGCAAAGTATTTGCACAGAATAGAATTAGATTGGTTAGTCTTAATATCCAAGTAAAACGTAAACGAGTAAATCAATATTGATTTTATTTGCAATTAGCCAGAAGAGATTGAATAGATATATTTTTGCAATAATTCTTGATGTCTGCTACATGCAGCTTTAGCACTAATTTTGTCCACATGAAAGTTTCCTTGCTATTGCTTACTCCTGATAGATACCGAACATAATCGGCATGTTGCATAACTTTACCCGATTTCTCCTACCAATATCAGGATACCGGCAGTAGCTGCTGTCGTAGCAATCACACTTACCTTGAATGCCAGTTACTCATGGTGACAACATCTTCCATCTCTGAACGCTGTAGTCAATAATATTATATCGTACGGTAATACATGCAAAACAGTCACTATTGGTAGAAATATCAGTTCACAGTCTTAAAGACAAAATCGGTCTTATGGATGCTTGTAACCTATATAAGGGGGAAGAAATCAAATGTAGTAATGACAAGAGCATCAGGTTAGTGTCTAATTAATCTCACTCTTGGTGACGTAGAAAAATAGACATCCAGTAAAATAGATCGAAAATTTAAATTAGGATTCAATAAGAAGTGGTTACTAAGAGCTTATAAATTGGGGGGATCCATCACTATCTTTGAATGCAATTAATTATCATAATACGAAATTAGTGAAAACTCTATCAATCTTAACGATTATTTCAAGCAAGAATAGGAATGATGCTAACTACGAGTCACAAAGTTTATTCTGACATATTTTCACAGCTTTTTCAATCTTCTGCTTAAATTCATCGCTTGCTTTTCTGCTTAGGATGATTTGCATACACGAAACTACTTCAAAGCCATCATTATTGTCTATAGCATCAATCACTTTGTCCACAACATGGTTTAGTCCACGAGGAGATTGATCAGCGTGCATATTATCCGGTGAGCGGTGACCAATAAATATGGTAGCGTACAAACCCTGTAGGGCGATAGCATTGCCCTGCAATTCGTGATATCTGCTGGGATCTTTGTAGATATCACTGTATTTTTTATATTCCTTAGATTGGAATAGCTTAAACGTGTACGGTATCTCAAAATAAGTTAATCCTAATTCATTGCACGAGCTCCTAATGATGTAATCAACCGATAAACTCTTATATTCTTCCTCGGTTGGAGTCTCATTTTCAATTACCCCTCTAGTATAGTAAGCTCTTGCCAAATATGAGTGAGGAACTGGTGAAAGGCTAGTATGGAATAGTATTGCAACGCCATCGTCTGACAATAAATTGCTTGCAACGCTATCTACAAGATTGGTCACGCCATAGCGACCATTTTTATGTTGGCCACGGGCGTAGTAGACTGCATGAGACATAAAGACAAGATTAAATCGATTCATTGAAGTTTTCATTTCCTCATCTCGAAGCAGTAACTGCACAACATCATCCTGCAAAATATCGCCATATTTAACTTGAAAACTCTTTAATGGGATAGTCTGTGCTTGTTCAACCTTGGAGAAATTTTCTTCTGCTAGGCCTTTTTCCTTTTTGCTATTTCCTTTCTCATCTGTAGATTGATCGATACCGGCAAACACTGGATGTTTGTCTATAGCTCTAATATCTAATCCTCCTTTAAATTCTACATTTTGCAGGTAACGGATAATTGCATCTGCGTCTCCACAGCCAATATCGCCGACTATAGTTGGTTGATCCTCACGACGAAACAAGCCATCACTTTCAAGTTCTTTTAAGAATGAGTGATTTAATAGAGATAATAACTGATGATCATTATTGCGACTCTTATAGCCAAGAAACGCTTTATCATATTCAAAAATATCAGTTCTAATCGTTTGTCCCTCCATGGTTATGCTGCTATTTCCTTCAGTACCAATCCCAAATGCCGTCGATCTGTGATAAGGCGTGCCGGTGGGGCGTACACTTACTACACTCTTCCAATTTTATAATCAGCTAACCGACATATCGACTTCTCATAAATGACAATAACGTAGTAGGCCCTTAGGGCGTATGGAGTCTTTTATTTTGACTTCATTAATTATTCAAGACTTAGCTTGGTCAGAAAATCTCATTTTTACAGATTGTCCAGCAGTACAGTCTAGTACAGTCTAGTACAGTCTAATGATTGCTAGTCCAGTTGGTGCTCGAGGACAGTCGAGTCCACGATACTGCATGTACTGTACACAACCGTTGACTGCATGCTGTTTCCCAAGGGATCAAAGTATAGTACTGTCGAAATAAAAAGGAAAAGGGCTTTTCTTGTTCCACTATGGAAGAGAGCCTAAACAATATGCCGGGACAAGTTAAACATTGAGTTATCATTGAATTGGCCAAAAATCTTGTACAGCCATCGATGGAGTACTGCAAATGTTTACTCAACTAGTCAACTTGATCAATTAACTTAAACTATTGCAGTCCATTGCACCATAAACTTGAAATTACAGTAGAGTAGACAAAATGCAGTTTCGCGTTTTTATACAGAATACAATACTGCACTTTGCATATCGGTGTTTTGCGATCATGATATTTTACTTTTCGGCTGCTTTTTACCTGCAGAGTACTGCAACGGTATATGAGACATGAGAACTAGAATCCCGGTTTACAATTCTACCTGTAAAAATTCTAAAACGCCTAAAGGATTAGAGCTTGTATGATAGTCGTCTATGATCCATGGATGACAGTCAATAATATTGTTTATAGAAGGCAAGAAACATTCTTTGCAAGGAATTGTTTATTACCATTATAGATATCTGTATTACTGTAGAATGTTATATACTCCATTAATTTATTCTACGAAATTACTAAGCAGAACATTGATAAAGTCAAAGCTTTCCTTACCAAGCCTATCCATTGACTGTATCCGATATGACATAATCACGTAGCTAAACCGGATACACAATTGCACGTCCTATTTAATCGCAAAGATAATTGTACAAAATAGCCCCAATTCAGGTTTTAGCCGGAACATATATATATAAACATCTGCATTATGTTTAATATGTTAATACCGTTTGTATATATATTATTATAATAGAACCGTCATATCAAGCCATATACAAAACTGTGGCAAGTAAATGCACACTAAACTATATTAGCACTCGGTTCCAATGGAACTTATTTTACTAATCTAATATGAAATATATATTTAACCTTAACATACCGTACTTATGGTATAATAACTACTGTACAAATTCGCAGTAATTTCATAAATCACTTTAAGGCATAAATTATATCACTATAGCATAAAATTTGGCAGTAAATCAAGCCTAATATAGCTAAATTTTGTACCAGAGTAAATAATCGTGAAAAGTGTTTGCGTTAGTGTTCGAAAGTAGACAATGTGTTACAGAATTACAAATCAAGTATCTTTATTGTAGTTTTTTGCTAAACATAAAAAATTGAATACATATCATTATTTAAAACAGTTGAGGCATCACTTTATACATAAGGCATTCAAGATATAATCAATAAAACAAAATCAATTTATGGATTTCATATGCCAGCCAAAATATCCTTTTTTTCTCTTATAACATGACTCTATAACTATTTCATAAGATCCAAATTACATTTAATGACGTTTATTTCTTAAAGAATAAGAGCGAGTGATTCTCTTTTGCCCTGAAAGTATAATAAAAAGTATACATGTTTCAACTGTATCGAGCAATAGATGCTGTGTCCATTAGAACACCAAACTAATTTTCTATACTTTTACAATGTCAAAACAGTAAACCAAATCGTAATCTGCATACCTTGCATACTTTCTTCCTGATGCATATTATCCTTGAGCATGATATTGGGTTGAATTTTCCTTTTCCTAGAGCCAGACTTTAATTTCTTAAGGTTACTCTCATCATCCCTTGAAGTATCTGCAGTCGGTTGTTTGCCATTCTTAGTTGTTGTACCGATTTGGTCCTTGACCTCTTTGGCTTCTACAGTCTTATTGTGTTTCCGTTGTTCATCATCTTTCAAGATACATTCCTCATTGTTGCCTTTATTACCGTTTATTGATGGAGACGATTTTAACTGATCACTATTGCCTTCGAATTCTTGTGCATCATTTGTCTTGCGTAGGATACTGCCTACATATTCATTGTCACTTTCGTCTGATGATATTTTCGCAGATATATCATCAGAGATCTCTGAGTCTTTCTACGCCAAAAAGTAAATAATACAATTATCTACTATTACCATCGCATTTATTACACAAGCATATTTCGATGCAGTATTAAACGTAGAAGTCTTAATTGAAGATACTATTTCAAATGACTTCATAGCTAACTCTAACCTCGTTTTCTTCAGCATCTGTATCTTTGGCAGATTTCTGACTGCTTGTATCACTAAACTATAATATCGATATTCATAATAAGGTAAACGATACAATTTTAAAATTTAACCGGGTATCCTATTCTACTGAAGTCAAACGATACTTTTACCTCCTCCTCAGCGGCTATTTTAATATCTGCAGATTTATCCTCAAAGAACAAATCACCCGGCTGTTCCTCATGGCTTTCAACTTGTACTTCTTCTTCTACAGCTAACTATTGATTTAGGTAGATTGTATTGCGTTTAATATACCATTATCAACAGATATCTATTTTTTATATTTTAAACAAAGAGACTAAATTAATTTCATACATTTAATAGCTGTTCAGTAACGTCCTCGGGCATATTATGTAATAAATAGTCGGACACTTTTGATCTTGTCCAAGTCTCCTTAATAAAGATTGTTTCCAATAATCTATAAAAACGCAGGGTCATAACCGAAAAGTTTATAGCAATACTGCTAAAAACTGTATTGAACGATAGCAGTCTTTATACATTAAAACAGAATCATTACTGTTTGTCTTTACGGCTTAACCAATCATGAAAATTCGTCGGCGCATCAATGACTGCTGATACCTATGTTTAAATTGATACACACATCGTAAATTACCATTTCGAAGACTTAATCTCCAAAATATCATAACTATAATTTTAATATGCAGCTCATACATATTTCTTAATGTCAAGTATTTCTTTTTCAAACGTTCGTCCTAAACGATGTACACAGATATACCTGAGGAATTCAAGTCGTCATTAGTAATATAGACATTAAAGCTTAGGGTTAAGGTTATATTTAAAAATGTACGGGGAATGTCTATTACTTGACATAGGCAGTACAATCTTGCAAATCAGGTTTCAACAAAATGGCTTGCCTAAGGGAGCGATCAATAGCCCGAATTAATACAAAATATGCAACACGGATAATTGCAACTAATGCTTAAACAGTCTGAGATACTTTATTAGTGGTAATAGTTTCCGTTTATCAACCACAGTAGATTGCAGGATGACATCGAAAAGGAATTCCGGACAACAACCTGTAAGCGTCAGAAGAGCATTGTTGCAATAGCTGTAAAAAACTAAATATTTATTTAAGAATAACAATCTGGCATAGTTTAACGGTTTGATTAACCGTTAATTTTCATCAGCACTTACTTATGGTCCGTAAAGTAAAATTTAATGCAGTTACCGATAACTGTTGATTGTTACCGTCGTAGTTTTTGCTATAAGAACAAATAAAGGTAATTAGTGCTCGCACGTTTAGAATTTTGTTAAGCGTTGCTTGCCTGGAAGTGCAAATATCCAAGTCTATATACAGCGATAGATAGGCCGAGATGATATCCAGATACTTAATACGAATAGTTGCATCTGCGTCATATTTAATCTAACGAATAAAGTGAGGCTAAGACTTAATTTATTGATATAAAGATTGCAAATCGCGGATGTTTTGTTCAGATCTTACATAGTTTCCGAATTTAAAATGAATTAATGTTATAAATTTGGATAGCTTGCTCCTTAGTTCTTCCATATGCTCCAAGGTTTGTGGAGAAAAAGCTTTGGTTAGGTATTCCGTAGACTCAACAATTACCTCTCTAGATAAGGTAACAAGATGAAATCAACACTACAAGTAACCTCAACATAACAATTTAGCAAAAAGTAAATACGGGATCGTTCGACTTACTTTAATAGGGCTGCCATAATTGGTAAAAAGTCCTGTCATCAATATTAAGCAAATTCAGTGACATACATAATCAAACATCTACTCATATTTAAGTAAGTAACATTCTAAAAGCCTTATAGTTCCAATCAAGGATCTATAAATGCTGTGCTGTATACCAAAAAGTTTACCTGTATATCCTCCATGGTATATAACCTATTTATAGTTGTTGTTAGTAATTTCGCAGTTGCATCCATGGAGTCTTCATAAGTTTCTTTCTATTGAGTTATCCAACAAAATTTTTAGCAAGTCTTTTATCTTTTGATTAATGCGATAAATGATTTAGCTTTAACAATAGCCAATTAATTATAGATTTAATTTGTTAAAAAGTTAGACGTATAAAATTAACAATTGAGTTACATATATCTGCGCAAGAGATGAAACCACTAGCGATATAGCTTCGGAATTGATATCAGATTCAAATAATCCTAGAACTTAATAGTAATAAGAAATGAGGAAAGTTATTAGTTAAAGCACTGGTTATTTGTTATCTATTAATTGTTACAGGTAATACATAGATCAGTAGAGCTTTATTTACGAAGATCAACGCAACTAGATAGCAAATTAGTCGGCGAATAATAGTGACTATGTGACACCCATATCATTTCTTATATTGTCACAATTCTACTCTATTTAATACAGTCATGAAAAATTTCGAAAATGACTGTATGAATGTCTTGAAATATTGTATGATGTCATAATGGTATTAATAAATCGCATTGCAGCAGTTTTTGATTTACACACATGCTAAATTTAATCAGGGTATGCTTACGATAATTTTCTTTGCTTTCATTATCTTTCAGCCCTCGCATTATAAGATCGACGATAGCTTCATATTCTTTACCCTTTAGTATACGCGCTTGCAATTGCTGTAATCGGATAGGAAGCAGTGTTACAAATTGAAAAAGCACTCTAATTGGCAAATCTACGGCTTAATCATTGTGTATGAAAGTATAATAATCAGTTTATAGAATAACGTTACCAATTGAAGCCTTTCTTGATTGTCTTGGTGAAATAGTCTATAGAATAGCAAGAAAATGGCAGATCAATCAAGTGGTATAGAATCTCCTCCAATTTCATAGCATAGATTACGATTGCAAAAGTAAAAACTGCGAAGATGATTGTTTCCTTACTTTATGCCTGAATAATACATATCGATCTACGTATCCATCAGTTATCAAAATGCAACAAAATCCATGCGTAATCATTCAGAGTAATAATGAATAAAAGTGCATCCTAAATGATGCAAAGATATTACTAATTCTATTTGAAAACTAAGACCTGCATAACTCTTCCGCTAAACTATTGAAATTCTCCTGCAATTGTTTCTTGATTTCCCCATCAGGCAAAGAAGAGATTCCACTACGAAACCGCTCTCGTAATTGATCATTTGTTAGTATCCGATCCGCTATAATGTCAAATGATGAAAATGGGTAAATGGGCCGATGCTTACGGTACGAGTTAGCGTTAGCAATGACGGTTACATTACTTGCAAATTAAATGAATTGTAGTCGATTACTGTGATTCAACTTGTACTCAAGGTTACCTTGTAGTAAACGTTCTTTCAGCAATTGCATAAAAGTCTGAGCTAATGATTCTGTTTGGATATCCATCACGTATGCCTATCGTCTAGAATAAAACAATAGGAAGAGGAGTAGGTTAATTCAAAGTGCATGTCTATGTGCGACGTTCGATCAAAGTTACCCGAGGTAACCTACTGTATGCAATAATTTAATCTATAATCTTTAGCTACTGTATGTACTCGTATTTTAGAGAGTCGATATTAAAATCTTGCACAGTAATTATACTTGAAATATTAATTGATAGCAAAAATGAAGGTAACTGATGAATTGTAAAAAAGAAATGAATCAATGGCAGGTATTTCCATTGGCAGTCATCGCCTCAGTTTTCTATGAATCACTTGGCTAAATCCATGCTGAAACAGAATCACTTACTCGGTTTAAGCTTGATCAACTTTGACTTTCCAGTAATTTTTCACCTTCAATTATGGCTAAAATGGATCACTAATTAATACTAGAGTATGCACCCACAGAATGCAGATGTTGGGTTCTTTCTTGAGATGAGTGGACAAGCGGCATTCAAATTTATAAATTCAACGTGATATTGCTACCTGCTAGTGCTTGATTGCTTGAGGTAGGCGCATCGCCATCGGCAAGCAATATTACAGTCCTGTGCTGTACCGTACAGTACAAACTACAGCATCGCCATGGTAAATACTGTAGACGGATTCGCGCGTGCGTACAAGTTAGCTCCAATCACAACCATTTACAGTGCTGTGCACTGTACGTTACAATGTTCAGTACTGTGCATTGTACGTACTATACTGTACTGTACGTACAGTACAGTACAGTACTGTAGTGTACCGTACTGTACTTTGACGCCCGTTGAACCTCTAATTTACATTTGATGCAGTTTGTAACTCAGTCAGTCGTAACGTTGTATACTGAAGAAAGTAATATTTAGATGCCTTGGTGAACAAAATTGATCTTCCGCAACGGTATGGCACGCTTTATAGCCACCGTGTACGCAAGTTTCCTAACCTTAAAAACAGCTTAAAAGCGGACATTGACATCAATTAGAATGATTGAATTGAATAACGTAGTGAAATCTAAGCTGCCTCCTTTTAAGGTAATCATTGACTGATCGCTAAGTGTAAAAAAATCTATATTTGATACCGACAATATAGTTTCAATCAATCTCGAAGGATGGCGATTGGCACGATTTTACATGGTTTTGGGCCATTTTGTAAAGGAAATTTTGCCAATCGCACCCCTTCCATGCCGATTGAAACTACATTGTCGATATCAAATCTGGATTATTTTGTGGCTTAGCGATCAATCAATGATAGCTTGAAAGTATACAACTTGAATTTTAATCCAAAATATTACATTATTCAATTTTTCTAATTGATGTAAATGTCCGCTTTTCAGCTGATTTTGAGGTTAGAAACTTCCCTATACAATGGTATATCTCGTACGTCTGTTTCGAACTGTACACTAAATTACTATTACCTTCATCAAAGTGCTTTGCCCTCTAACTTGAAAACGGATGGCCGGACACCCATCTGGAAATGATGAATTGCACCGCCACTTGAAAACGGATGGCCGGACACCCACCTGGAAATGATGAATTATACCCAGCACGCCACCTGAAAACGGATGGCCGGACACCTATCTAGAAATGATGAATTAATACTAGTACTGTATTATTGAACACGAAGAATAGCTTGAGCAAATATTCTCTTGTTATGATGATTTTATGCAGGCTTATTGATTCCAAAAAGAATAATTTTGCAATAGCAGTGGTGCTTTGTTCAAATCAATGTAGCGCAACAAAGGTATTAGCCCTTGTCAACTGGTTACTAACTGTTTGCTAAGGACTTGTTAGGCTGCAAAGACATCGGTTGCTTGTTAATAAACTGACATTGGACTTGCACGTGTACTAAAGAAATGAGCAGTAGAAACCATGGAGGAACATGCAATTAGAACTGATATTTTCCAATATGATAAAGCTTTTCTTGCCTACAAGAGTTGCAACAATGATCATGAGAGATTGTCTCGATTAAATCATACTTTCTTAAAACAACTTCAAGATTTAGGCTTGTTCTATCGTCAGGATCAAGTTACTCTAGTTGGCGATATCGGCTGTGGAGATGGAGAAGCTACCATTACTTACTTAAATAATATTGAATTTAAAGGAGGATTAGATATTAGAGCAATGGATAAGCTTGCCCAATTCGCCGGTACACATCAGTCTTCAGTGAAGAATGCCACTTCCGAAGGAGAAAAAGGACTAGCTAACGAAACTTTCTCGAAAGCTAAACAATCACAGGTGATCCCGTTAAAGAATTACCAAGTAAACTTTGGCGATATGTTGGAAGTTGATGTCGCGCACCTGTTGTATACAGATGAAGAGATCAAAGAATCAATGAATCGATTTAATCTTGTCTATCTCTCTCACTCGGTCTACTACGCACGCGATCAACATAAAAATGGCCGATACGGTGTTACTAATCTTCTAGACAGTGTTGCTACTGATTTATTGGCAGACGATGGTGTAGCAATACTATTTCATGCCGGCCTTGAATTTGATACAGTCACCTCAATTAGCTATTATACTAGAAGCCTAATTCACGATATTGTTCCAACTGAGGAAGAATGCAACAGAATATCTGTTACTCACATTATCAGCAATTCTTCCCGTGAATTAGGGTTAACCTATTTTGAGATACCGTACAAGTTCGAGCTGTACTTTTCTAAGGATTGTAAAAAATACGCTGATGTATTTAAGGATCCTAGCAGATATCACGAATTACAGAATGATCCTGCAGCATTACAAGACTTGTATAAAATCATATTTATTGCCCATCGCTCACCAGATGATCTCTATACAGATCATTCTTCTCGTGGACTAAACAATTTAGTGGATAAAGTACTAGATTGTATTAAGAGAAATGATAGTATAACTCTATCTGCAAGTATGCAAGTCATCCTAAGTAGAAAAGCAAGCGACGAATTTAAGCAGAAGATAGAAACAGCTGTTAAACAATGCCAGAATAAATTTGGTGACTAAAAGCTAGCATAATTGCTGTATCCTCATCTTTCTGCTTGTAGACTGAATTGTTAACGTATGACTCTGCACTGAGTGCTGTAGAATATCATCAACTACAGTAATCTTAATTGTTACAACTCTCATTAGTACGGCATAGTGTCCAGGTTCGTCCAGTTTTTAGTTAAGCTATTCTTCAAGTTTCATTTTACATTCCTAATACTTAAATAGAGCGAATTCTAGGTAATAATTGTGCTTAACGATACGTAGTCTAGTAAGGCTAAATAAGATTATAGGTAGTAATCCTAGTTGTGGATTAGCATTTACAATGAATGTGAGTGATTAGGCAAAGATTTCACTCTTTCGCCAATCCTTCCCCTTTTAATTTATTTATAGTTAGTTTATTTTATTA